ATATGATATGTATTGTTAAATGATATGGTTTGCAGATAAAACAGAATAAAACAGCGAGTCAATAGAAAATATGATTTATTTGCCTTTAACCTATTTTCATTTTGAAAAAAAGTAATGTGATCAATACAGTATATAATATTGGTATAAAATTATCTATTTCATACTAAAGAAATATCATCATCATCTCCTTATTGGCAAATATATATATGAAGCACAAGATCACTAAGAAAGGGAGGCGTTCAAATAATGCAACCCCAACACGACCCAGCACCACAGGACTACCGTCAAGTAGTCCAGTAGGACACCAAACAAAAAAAGGATATGGCACAAATTAAGTCGCATGTATAATAATATCATTACTAGTCAATAAATTCAGTACTTATCTCGTATATATTGTACAATGGAAATACTTTTTTCAGATAGTATCATGCTTTATTCATAGAGCTAATCGAAACCTGAGCTCAAGGATTGTTAGATTTAATGATACATTAAATGGTGCCCAGTACACACCTATGGGCCATGATTATGTAACATTCGACATACAGTAAACTCCGCTTATAACGAACTCATTGGGACATTCAAAATATGTTCCTTATATCCGGAGTTCCTTGTAAGCATATAGCGAATTAGTTCCTTGTATCAGAAGTTTATATAGCGAACAGTTTTACATATAACGAACTAATTGTTTACCGTGGTCCTTCATTTAGAAGAGCATTTGATTAAGAGAAATAACTCTTGGGTTCGTCATTGTTTTCTCCCTTATATTGATTCAATAAAGAAAAAAAGAAATAATTGCAATGTTGTTTCTTTTAATATAATTTTTATGTATAAATATATCTATAAGATAATTATATGATATGTACCATATATGCAATATTGTTATTTATTAACGATACAGTATCATGCACAAAAAATCACTTTGCTTTAAAGAAGTCGGTAATTTTAGTTTGGGAATGTTTACAACTCTTCAGGTTAAATTTAATATCCAATTAACTTTTAAAAACTGTTTCTTCAACATTTGCATTTGACTCGAAGTATGACCTAATCTTGTGCAAACAATCAATAGTTTCATTTTTTGACACAAGCGGCAGATCATCTAAATTGATTTCGTCTTCGGAAGATTGACTGTCATCGTCATTATTTGTTCCTAATATATCCGGTACATTCGGCCAAGTTTTAATCTGTGGCTATGAAAACGAAAGTAGAAAATGCGTGATCTGTTTACGGATAGCCGATATTTTGGAGTTCGTTATAAAAGTGTAATTTTCTGTACTTTTTATGGCATTGGGACTAAAAAATTAGTTCCTTATAAGCGATAATTCCTTATAACCGTGTTCGCTGTAACCGTAATTTTTTACATTAAATACAGAAGGGCAAAATTCGGGCCAAAATATTTTGTTCCTTATAACCGGAAGTTCGCTATAACCGTGTTCGCTATATGTGAAGTTTACAGTATTATATAAGTAAACGCAAATTTGTTTACCAATTTTACCCTTTATAAGATTGCAATGAACGGAAATAAGTAAACGTTTAGTCACACAGACAAATGATTGATTTTGTATTAAAAGCCATGCATTTTTAGAGTTTTATTGTATGAAACAGTAATAGTTGGTTTTTTATATTTCGTTTGTGTTTACATGCCAAATATGGCGTCTATTAACGTAGCCGTCTGTTTGGTATGTTTATATCATTTCTGATCAACTGATGTAGCATATTTAAGCGAAACATCTTTAATAAATTGTGTTGGTTTTTGATTTTTTATCCTAACGAAACATAACAACATATCTTTCGAAATGTATTGCATTTTCGAAATATTTCTTATCAGCTTTAAGCCTTATCAAATCAGGATTTACACCATTTACATAAAACAGAATGTAATAACTGTATACTTTCTAACCATTTTAATATGCTCCCTACTGAAATAATGTATGCATGACAAATGGTCATGTACATATGCGCTAATTTGTAAGTGTTACACTTTGGGCGCGTAAATAACAAAAATGATCATTTTCATTTTTAAACTGTTCTTATGTTGGTTTTGTGATAAAAAGGATATAATATACGTGTAGATTCGTTACCTAATTAATTGCAATCGTTGAATTAAATGCTAGCCAAAGGCTCGCATACAACTCGTTCAATAATTTAAAATTAAAAATACCTATATCTGTTATATGTTTGTAGTCAAGTATGACTATCACTGTATACTCCTCCCTAATAAAACATATTTTGACATTTTGTGTTTAATATTGTATTACTATGTTTCTATTGACTTAAATACAGGATATTGAATGAGTATAAGTTATTTACTGAATTTATTGAACGAGTTGAATAAAATTATATTATTAGAGCCTCTGGCAGACATACTAAAGAATTCAATATATTTAGTAATGGACTAACACGAATTGGATATTCAGTTTATCACATACCAAAGACAAAGACTGATTAAGGCGATAAAGAATCATATTTCATTGACTCGACTAAAGTGTAACGCTAAAATTTTGCGCGTCCTAATGCTATGTTTATATAACGCAAATGACGTCACATCAAAATATATGCACGGCCCTGCAAGACAATTGTTACGGAGTCGCAAAAGCGGCACGGGTATGTTTTAAATAACAAAAATAAAATATAGTTATGTTTAAAAAAATGAAAACATTGCTAAATTTCAAATATTTACATTTTTAAAATAGATAAATACAGAATCCATAAAGAAAGCCCAACACGACAAAATTGAAAATGTTGCAGGCTTGGTTTGATTGAGCCTGTTCATAGACGATACTGAAAGGTTGAAGTTACCGTCAACGCCCCTAGCACCGGCTTAAGCAGAATTCAACATTTAAACATGAAATAGTAAAATTTTGAATTTAAAAACATCCGCAGATGTGTTCATACGGCGGTTATCGATCGTAGAACATTCAATGTGACACAGTAGTGCCATTCCATGGAAAGAGGCGTATGGTCCCCAAGTAATAAAAAGCGTTACCCTAAACGAGAAAACAATGGGCGGAACTAAATAAAATGGAATTTTGAAGGAGATCAGAGGTTATGAAGCCTGCATATCACAGAAAAGACGTCAAAAGACAAATTTAAAAGGCAGGCAACATATTCTGAGGGTGATTCAACATTATTCAAGTAGGAATATCGGAACCACCCAACTAGAAAATGCCAAAAAGTTGAAACTAAAAATACCACAAGCACAACAATCATGACGTTCTGAACGATCTTCAAGGATCGAAAATACATGTATAACATCATTGATTTAATAAAAATAAAAATTAAATTTACATATTTAAAGCACCTGTTTACTGTGTTACTTATTAACGTATGACATTTAGGTAGAACTCTGTCAGTTCATTTATGCTATTTTCTGAATAAATCATGTGGCTTTTTAATCAAATGAAGTGAAGGACATACTATATGACGAATACGTCAGAGAGGAAATAGTTTAGGTATAGAAAAATGCATATCTTGAGAAAGATGGCATTTCTACACTTTCCTTGACGCTATATACGTAATTGTGTGAGAGAGAGAGAAGAAGAGAGAGAGAAGAGAGAGAGAGAGAAGAGAGAGAAGAGAGAGAGAGGGGAGAGAGAGAGAGAGAGAGAGAGAGAGAGAAAGAGAGAGAGAGAGAGAGAGAGGGGAGAGAGAAGAGAGAGAGAGAGAGAGAGAGAGAGAGAGAGAGAGAGAGAGAGAGAGAGAGAGACAAAAAATAGTGTAGGTCAGTCTAACACTTGTTGATTGAAATATTTTTCGTAATACATTGTCAAATTTGAACTGTTTTCTTTTTCGCTTTTCATACTTATAATTATAATAAAAAAGTTTTAAGAACAATACGAATCAATTCTACTTATCTAGCTCGATGGCAACTAGTTATGGTGGTAACCAAGCTCTGTCGAATGTACGTTAAACAGTTACCTGAGAGCTAGCTATTTCCGTCCGTTTCTTGCATATAAGATATCAATTATATTTAGGAAAATAAATACGAAAACAAAATATTTTTATGTAGCACTTTTTTCTTTAAGTAGTTTTGAATTCCGAACTTTATTCATAACAGCAAAATGACGTTATTCTAAGAACACAATTCATTCATAAATGGCGCGCGCGAATGACGTCATTTAAATCACGCGTCTTACATTGGTGGTGTTAAATAGGTTTTTCTAGCACCGGTGTAAACGGTAGATAATCTGTTTAAGGCGGTAACGTGGCACTGTCAAGGTTCCGTTAAACAGTTACCCGAGAGCTAGATTCTCCCGTCTGTACCTTCTATCGGTATTTGATTCTTTTCCTTGCATATTACATATCAATTATTATCAGAATATAAATTACGAAATCTGATATTCTTATAACGCATTTTTTCTTATAGTAGTGCATGAACTTACAACGGCAAAATGACGTCAATCTAATTCAGCAAGATAATAATGTTGATTATTCTGGTTTTCACGCATTCCTATATCAAGCAAATGAAGTGCATTGGTAGTGTTATTTGTTGTTTTCAGTGAATCAACTTTTACAAACTACGTTTTAAACCATGCTTAACATATTTTACAGAAACTATGAGTTTTTTCGATTACATAATTGTTGACACACTTTGTTTCAAACAAAAAAGTTGTTGATGATGTTTTTTTTTCAGCAGGAGTCATCATAAACTTATTCATGTTTTGCTGTCGGTATTTCAGTTCATTTTCATATTGAAACTTCACTTCACTTAAGTGTTGTAATATTATTCTGTCCTTCGGTATCATAAACTCCAACATCAGTCGAGAAAATTTAGTATCGTTCAAGCTAGTGCCGTGGGGTGAGCCATGTTGCATTTGGCATTATTCCTCATATACAGACTCAATCAAACCGAATATGCAATTTTCACGTAATTTTGCTGATTTAAATGCTTCCGAGAATTTTTTTTTCAGAGATTTGAGCAACTTAATCTATTGGCATTATTTAATCTGTGTCATTCGATTTCTTATAACATATTCCAGAGTGTTTCCAGTGACATTTACACAGCTTGGCGTATATTTTTCTCTTTATTATGCTTCTGATGTTTCGGGGATTCTTTTATCGTATTACTCAATATAATAAAACATGTTTTAAAGAGTTGTCACAATTTGAACTATTTGAGTTTCTTCTTCAGTCGTATTTAGTTTGCATTGCACAAATGAATCGACATAGTATGTATCAGCCAACAGGTCGCACGAGTTATGTTCACTGCGTGAATTAGATTCCATTATGACATTACTTTTATTTCCATAAATGTTTTTCTTTCCTATATCCATAAACAGTAGATTGGCTTTCTTGTTTCTATTTTGTATCTTATTAAGAAATGATACACCTCTGAAACATACAATGCTTTCTATAATGGCCTGACGGAAGCTGCTGTGCCTGGCCACATATATAATAGGGTTCCAGACAATTGAGCATTTGGCAAACACTGCTGGGGCAACCTGTACCCATGGTGAAATAGATTCGTAGTTTCCTAGTGCAGTCCACATTGAAACAATCGAGTACGGAAGCCATGATGTTACAAAGGCACCTGAAAACGATAGATCAATGTAATTATTTTGTTTTGATGATAAAAAAATGTAATATGATTTATTATAATGGCAAAATGTAATATTATTTTGTCTTTCGTCTGTACGCTCTCCATTCATATTTAATAGTTACAATATAATCAAAGCACTACCCGTGCAGTTGCAATAGCTTACAATATTTTATTTTTGAATATGGCTAAGATGCATATTTAAAGTTTTATTTTGTGTTTATCACGATGTCTTACCAATCATTAAAAATACAGTTACAGCAACTTTTCTGTCTCTTGAGGTCCTCCTCAGCGAAGTGTTTTGAGAATGCTGGTGCACATTACTATTTTTATTAATCTATAAATAACAATAATGAAGAATTTACAGAATATTTTATCGACTAAAAAGAACCACTAAAGCATTACTGAGATGCTACTTTTGTAACAATACGGCAATAAATTTAAATGTTATAATGACAAAAGTACTATGTTACAAGGTGTCCTTTTTAACAAAAATGTTGATTTTTAAAATATCATAAGTCGATCTTAAGAAATAAGTTGCTTTCCATCGACATCGTTTTTTAAAAAGAAGTTTAAATGACAAAGAACTATTTGGAATACAATTTTCAAAACTTCAAATACAAATGTTCTTACTTGAGTATTTAAAACACATAGAATACTATCTTTAACATCTTGTTTGTTTCACATTTTTGATTTGTTTTTGTTGCTGTTTTGATTTTTAATCACTTTTTATTTTTTATTTGAATTTTGAAAATTGATAAAATCCCATGATGAAATTTAAAGAAACAGACAAGTATAATATATTTAAAGAAACAAATAACAAGATTATGCTAATATGGATTTTAACGTAAGACCTTACCGTCCAGACAATACTACTGTAACTATACGTGATGATTAACAATGGTACGAACCATCCAAATGTAAGTAAACTTATTGTAAATGAAAGATGACTGTTATCCTTTATGTCCCAACTCACAGAACATGATATTCCTTTTATCTCCTCTACATAACTGGACCATCCAAGAAGCGGTCCTAAAGCCCAACCTGCCCCGAATAAAAACGAAGATGTTATTATTAAACTACATTGGAAATAGGACTTGGAAAGTTTTCGATTGCATCGCACTATGATAAAATACCGATCCAATGCTAAAGAAGTTAACATTGCCACCTGAGATATTCCAAGAAATGTCGTTATAAAAGCTGTATATTGACATGCAGTATATCCAAAAATCCAATGTTTACTGAAACTTGATAAAACGACAAACGGCACTCCTAAAATAGCTTGTCCAATGTCACTGGCAGCAATGCCAACAATGAACAGGTTGTCAACTGTACGTACTTTACTTTGCTTCACATATGTATAAACAATGACAAAATTTTCCAATATTCCGAATACCATTACTAACACCAGAACGGTACCTACAAGGTAATACATAGCAGAATTTGTAAACAAAATTTCATGACTAACAACCGCTATCGATATATCAAAACTTATGCTCGTACTCCAACTGAAGGGAAAACACTACTAGCGATGCAGAGTAACAGCGAAGCTTTTATAGGAAATTTATCCAATATTTGTCAACTTTCAAATCGCGCATTTCCTGACCGTCGAAAGTGTTAACATCAAGAATGAAATGGTTACCTTATAGAACCTAACATTTTCATATACAAATGCATAAATTTGGCGAATATTTTTGTTCATTGGATATACTTATTTTTGTAAACCCAACCCCCTTGTGGCCAAGGGTTGCCTGGTTGAGGTATCAGACTTGCAGTCCCCTATTATTGCTGTGTGATTGAAACAAGCTGCTAAATTGGACCAAAATATAAGGGTATTTGTATCTCTTAGTTTCAGCAGGCGAGATGGTTCGACCCCTGATGTATATGATCGGTAAGAAAAACTAAGCTCGGTCCTAGCCTAAGGGAATGAAGTCAGGCTGCCCAAACCCTCGGTGTAACCTTATTTAAATGTTTTTTACTGAATAAACCAAGCTCGGCTCTAGGTTTATGGAATAATCTGCACAACGGGAAAATTGAAAATGCTGCAGGCTTGGCTTGAATGAGCCTGTTCATGGACGGTACTGAAAAGTGCAAACAACCGTCCACGTCCCTAGCACCGGCTTAAGCAGAATTCAACATTTGATATGAACTGGTACAATTTTGAATTTTGAAACACCCGTATAAGTGTTCATATGGCTGTTATCATTGAACCTTCAATGTGACACGTAAGTGCCATTCTATGAAAAGCGGCATATGGTCCCTAAGTAAAACATGTGCCCAAACGACAAAACAAAGGCCGGAACTAAATAAAATGGAATTATGAAAGAGAATCAAAGGTTATGAAGCTAGCATATCACAGATAAGACGTCAAAAGACAAATTTAAAAAACAAGCCACATATCCTTATGGTAGTTAAAAAGTATTTAAGTAAGGAATACTGGAACCATCCAACAAGAAATAGCAAAATGGAAAAAAAATGAAATACCACAAGCACAAAAAATAATGTCGTACTGAACGATTTTTAAGAACCAGAAATATAACATATATAATATGCCCTTTTCGATGTTCTGAACGGAAAATCATGCCCGGTTCTAGTTAAAGGAAATAAAGTCAAACAATGAAACACTGTCAAATCAAGCCAATATTTCTATTAAATTCCTTGTCAGGGACATCATTTTCACTTTCAAGCGAAACGGAAATTCTTATAATTATATCTTACTAAATCCTAACTAGCTTAGTCTCATATAAATCCATCTGTCACACGTAACAAAAGCATTGATCATTTATGCGTTCAATTTTAAATTATGAAGTGTCTTAAAAGCAATTTTTATTTGTTTTGGTTGATCTTGGGCATTAATAGCAGTTTGGCCACTAGCATTCTTTAAAGCTTCTGAAAAATAAGATAAAATCATTATATCGTACATGATGATAGACAAAAACATATTTGCAGAAAGTTCGTCGTAAAAGTCAAAGTGCATTTAAGTGCCTTACATTTTAGAAGATGAGACGCTTAATGTACAGGAAGACATATAAATCGCTTTATATATCAATCTCTACATTTGCGTGTTTTCACAGAAACCAAAGGTGCTAATTTCTTATTGATACAAGTAATATAATATGCATATTATTTTCATGCAGAATATACATAGTGAGAACATTATAAGTTACTTAAAAAGACAAATTCCCTACACTTACACATTTCAAATGTTAAATCATAATGTCAGACTTCAACAGAAATCTAGTGCATCTCTCTAATTGAGTTCAACAAGCAGCTTGAAATTACATATTGCATCAAAATATTGTAACATTATTATTGTTACAGCATTGAGAACAGTATGCATGATAATTATTCAAATGTTTCTGAATCAAACGAGCGATAAAACTTAGTATTGTATTTTTTTCCAAGGTTCATCATGATAAGATATATCCATCAATATATAAATGTAAATTGCCCTTGGATGATACAAGATGCTTGTGAATATTCCATATCCTTAAAAATATCTGAATAAGTGACATTACTTTCATGTAACTGTTTGATATCTTCAGCTACGTTGGTTATCACAAATGAAAGCGAACAAATAAAAGCATGATTACTGAATTGAAGATCACACGTCTTGTACGCAATAAATATAAACAAACAGATAAAAACCGAAATATGCTTATGATTCCATGTGTATACGTAATCACTTTATACAAGAAAAAACATTCACTTCTTTACATTCTTTGTCATAAAACAAATTTTACATAACGGATAATCTTGTCTTCTATTTTCAAATTGAATCTTATTGACGAATTAGATACATTTAAGCGATATGGTTCGACAACCCTTTATTCGAATACCCGACATTATTCAATACTAAAAAATTGTATTTGTACGCTTCTTTTTTGTTTGTTTATTTTTTCCACGATTGATGGCTGGAACAAATGTGTTGTTTACGGTAATTTTGATATGATGTGCGTTTTTTCGTTTGTCTACTACTCGTTTGTCCGACTAAAGTAGTCGGATTTCAATTATTCAAACCCACCGATTATTCGAAAAAACAATTCAGTCCCCGGCAATTAGAATAATTGAGGTTGGACTGTTGTTCTATGCGATATTCCGTAGCAATAACTGCTTGATTGTAACCACAAAAGTAATATATAGTTTTTAATGTTCGACTATCAGACTTATTGGGGCTTTGAAACTAAAAAAAATATGAATATATGCTTTATTGTTCATCTTAATATTGTAAATAGATATTATACCTACGCAAATATTCCTAAAGCGAATAAATCATTTATACAGATAAAGATGAGGAAAATTTAGTACTATAAATCAAGAAATATATAAGTAAGGTCTTCGTTAAAAACAATTTTCTTTACCTCAAAATATTGTTTTTGATATGATAAAATATGATAAAGAACTATTAAATAAATGCAGTTCCGAGAATCCGACTAATGATTAACTTAAAATATATCATTTTCAAATTGATAAAATTTTAATTGATTAATTAATGTGGCAGGATGTTTATTCAGGTTAATATATATATTTTAAGTAGAATATAATGACAATCTTATTAAAATCAGCTGCTAAATTACGCTTCTCATGGTCTTTCAAACAATCAATCATTGGCGAGCTTTCATTTTTTGAAAGCGATGCGGTTTCTAATTTTAACTCTTAGAAACAAATACTGAGTAGGTAATTTTCAAGATTTCGAGAACAAACACGACGTTGACCATATAGCTGACAGGTAAACTGGCAAAATAACAATTAAAATTAAAATTGAATTAAAATTAAAATTGAAATTTAATACAATTAAAATTGACACTTTTTTCAAGTTGATTTGTTAAAAATAAATCCAAACCTTTTTTCCAACAAATATCAATAATTTATATAACTTCCACAGGTAACGGGTTTTTGACAGTTCTTCTCATTTCTATCAGTAAAAAATTCTGGAGACAAAGTGTTCCTTTGGAAGCATTAATCACAACAAAATAACATAAGAACTGCAGACTCGGTTTGATTGAGTCTGTACATGAGGGATCATGAATAAGTGCAACATCCCTCACGCCCCTAGCACCGGCTTGAGCGGTACTCAATTCTCAACACTTTATAGTGTTGGCATGAATGATCCCGAAGGACCAGAAAATATAACAACACTGAAGTGAAGTACGGGGCAACTTTTTACGGCTGCCACACGGCACTTGACACCTGCTGTTGTGAAGTACAAAATTCTGGAAACAAAGTGATCCCTCGGAAGCATTAATCACAAACACCGGTTTGATTGCACGACTAAAAAAGCTTTTTTGGGAAATCCGAAATATAAAGAAAGCAAATCAAATACGGTCGTCATCAGATCTATGTGGAGGAAATAAGATCTAAACTTTATTTAGATCGAATATATTGTCGAAGGGTGTGTGTCATTATCACGTGTTTCATAATGTGTTGCTTAAGAAACTTTATGCCGATATAGTCATGTCTGCAAAATACATTTACATCTTAGATTATTAATGTCGTGGCATACTAACTTTTTAAAATACAGATTGTTTTTGGACATTTAAATAACATTTACTGTCTTTTGTATAGGCCTCGTACTGCAAACATGTTTCTAATTTATTATTATAATGTATATAAAGACACCGTGGCAACTTGTCTGGATGAAGCATACATTTTATACACAATGAATGTATTAGAATCATTACTGTATAATATTTACATCTCCAAACAGATGATTGCCAAATACTTTTTAAAAACAATGCCCATGAATAAGACATAAAAAGAACGTTAGAAAATATATCATGACAATTGTAAAACAAAGAGTTACTCGTACATTATGATAACTGTGATAAGTTTTATCATTATATATATTTTCATTAACTGAATGCAGATGGTAGAAATGGATAGAAAAATGGTATTTACAGTAAATAAAAAACAGTAATGTAACAAATGTCTATCAAACTGCGTGTAATCTTAACCATTTCAAAATTGTGTTTGGAATTTCAAACAGATAAATTTTCAGACAGTTTTTGAATAGCAGTATTAACATCGAGTACTTTCCAGCTTATAGAACATTATTCATGTACAGTTGTAACAGTTTATAAATTGTACAAGTTGTAATTGAGCTTTACGTTATAATGATTTTTTTATGGCGTAACTGCTATTGGATTTTTTTGTTCTTAATTTATTGAGCTTATTGTCTTTGTTGTAATAATATAGGTGTTATAACACCAGGGTTTATGTAATAAATTATATTTAGAATAATTCAAGCAAATGATTGCTCACATTGTCATTATTTTAATTGTTATAGATTTTTATAGGAATTATTACTTATTTGCTTCTGTGATATTCAATGGAATGGATTGAAATCTATGGTAAGATGTCGATTTTTAATGTTCTTACATCTTTCATCAGCACTTAGTTAATCTAATATGTTTGTGATC